GGTGAAACTGGATCATATTTTATAGAGGAAATATTTTATGGTTTTCACTTTGACGTTCTCTGGCTGCTCTGCCTCAGCTCTCTGTGATTTATGGAGTTTCCCTGATGGAGCCACTAACTAGCGGCTGCTGTTAGCTGGTTAGCAGTGCTGTCCTATTCAGTAACTCTCCCGGACTGAGTGCTCAGAGCATCGGGGCAGTGTCGGAGTTTAATGTTACCTTTAGACCTTCCATTAGCACCAGTGCCTCCAGTTCCCAGTTCATTAGCAGCAGTCAGTGCTTAGCAAACAGCTACAAGTAAATGTCCATCATTAAACTCTCTGAGAGTTGAGGCAGAGAAATCACACGACATCAGAGGTAAAAAACTGTAACTTTCCCTAACAACAGAAAAACCACAAAATGTTAGTCTCGAGTCCTGAGACCCGAGTCCTGAGCAGAGCGCTCAGCTGACTGAGCCTGTAGCAGCTGCTGTGCAGTGTCCTCAGTCAAGTCAATTCTGTCTTTCTGGTTTTTTTTAACACAGAAAAGGGATGATAGCTTGGATCGCTCAGGGATTGGAGAAAGTTGTTCCTCAGCCTGATCTGAAGAGCAAAGACTCACCACCAGCTGAGCAGCCCACTGAGGTACATCAGCAGTAGATAAAGTCGATAATTACACTCCTGCTTCTGTTCCACTGTCACTTCTCTGTGCATTTTCCCATAAAGAATTCATGTTATTTAACATCCTAAAAAAGATGAAACATGATTCTGGAATTATTTGGGAATATTCAATTAGCTCAATTTCATATTGATTTAAACAAAACAGCCGGATCTGAAGCGAGATTAACACTTTTTATTGTTATATTATGCAAGCGGGAAATGTTTCACATTTTAGGAAAATATGCTTATTTGGTTTCTTGCTGAGAAATTAGATTATCAGATTGATATCACTCTCATGAAGCTACAGCGAGCAGCCAGTTAGTTTAGCTTAGCATAAAGACTGGAAACAGAGGGATACAGTAAGACTCACTAATGAACACGTTAGTTAGTTAGTTAGTTTAATCCAGACTAAAACTGCGACATAAACATTTAAAAATGCCGATATTTTACTTTTTTCTGGGGACCAATAACTTCCTGGGTTATTCTCATGGGTTACCTGGCAACTGAAATACATGAATTTGCCTTGAACTTAAAGTCCAGAATAACCATGAAAAACTTAACGAATTAGGAATTACCTAAAGAGTTCTGGTCTGGGATATTTTATTCATTTTCAGTTTTTTAGGGTTAACCGAAATTATTTAAATAACCCTACAACCAAATGTAACTAATCACTTTATCCTCCAGAGAAACAGAAGACATTATTAACTCAGGCTGAGTAACTAAATATGAAATGTAAATCTCCCACAATGCCCTCTGCTGTGTGACTTCATGTGTTTGTTTGTCCTCAGGTGTGTTCGAAAGCAGCTGCAGCAGGTGAGAATCTGATCTGAACATTCCTGCAGACAAACATTCAGAGATTGGACTTTAAATAAACGGTTGGTTTCTTTCTGCTGCAGAGCCTCAGGTGGTGGAGGTGGAATCAGACCGAGAGAACAAAAATGACAACAAACCTCTCCCACCCAGGTCTGTTTTTCTGGTAGCACTTTATAATACAGCCTGTAATTTACAGTGTAATATTGTTGTATGAATCAGCTACAGATAAAATACTTAGTGGTACAAGAGACTAACAGTTGGGAATTTTAGCTATAGTTGCTCTGTCCATCTGACAATAAACTAATATAGAGCTACACAGTGGTTGTAATTGAGCTTTTACAGAAATAATACTCAGCACCTTCCATAGACTGTGTAAATAAAAATGGCCGTAGTATTGTTGACGTCCTTAATAGGTTTCTGAAAAGCCATTGTGAAGCTCAGTGTGGTCGGCTCTCGCCGTCACCATCTTGGCAGTCCTGACTCCGCCGGCTAATCCAAAAATG